TCACGCGGCACTCTGCGTATTACGCGCGCGACATGAGCGGCATGTGCAATATATTATAATGCAAAAGCTCGTGGATGCGCCAGACGGCAACGATACCAAGGCATCGGGAGGCTCGGTTGACAAATTTTGGTTATCTCGGACGCGCAAGCCGTCGCCCAGCAATATTTCGCGATGGCCGAAGCGTGTGTAGTTTCCAATGCATTTCAAATTTACGGTCCGGGCACTTAACTCTTCCACTTGGTTGATTTGCCGCCGGCATATATCACAACCCACCAATCACGCTTTATTGCTCTCTTTTGAAAGCGGGGAGAGGATGGAAAATCGATTCGAAAGGTACGATTTTTGGTGACAAAAAGTGGTGGTATATGTAACGGAGTTCGCAATTTGCAATGTCGAATGATGACAAAAAAAAGAGAGAGAGAGAGAGAAAGAGAAAGAGAGCGCTTCACACAAGTCTTTTCCGATTAATACTGAAAAGTGTATGGAATGAAACGGACGATCGACGTGCGTCCAAAGTTTCGCGCGCGAGCGCGAACGGTAGCCGCGGGATTACACGTCATAAAGGTAGCGCCAAGTACATAACGAAGTTACATCGCGCTGCGAAACTCGAAATTAGTTTCGGAAGCTTGCAGCTCAACGTCGCTCAAATTGACAGAAAGTGTACGATGGCGCGATGTCCGATGAGCGTGTAACAATGTCGCGGAGATATACGTCTTGTAATTTTCTATGCAACTTGCCAATAAAAGATCATCAGGAGTCACAACGTAATTCTTGTCACGCGCTTTTTGTCGTGTTCTCGAGATTTTCTTCATCCGTTATCGATTCGCGTTTTGCAAGAACTACAGACGGTTAAACATCGTTTTATTAAGTTTACTATCTCCCATTAGAGATTCTCCTAACAAAGATCGCGTTCGCTATTAGCGCTACGATTACATCCCCCACGGATCGAATCGAAGTAAACGAAGTAACGCTATTGGATAAATGTTATCTCGTTAAATCGATGCGATCCGTAAGCCATTTTGGTTCCTATCTTGCTGCAGGTAGTGCAATTGCAGTTGCTGCGCTTCCGCAGCGCGCTTCGTGTAATTTAATCTCGCCGGAAGACACGAGCGACCTTTAATCGCGTCCGAACAATTTATCCGCGAAAAAAAACTAGTTTCTCTTTCTTTTTCTCTCTTTCCCTCTCTTTTTGTTCTACTTTTTTAATTTCTCGACATTGCAAGAAAAACTAATTAAGAAGTCTCGAGAATTATAATCGAACTGAAATATGCATTTAAATTAAAATTTTCCTTGCACTTTGATAAGTCCATCCTGAAACGCAATTTTTTACGATATTTTCTTTTTATAGTGATATACGCCGGAATCTAGTTCTCTTTCTCTGAATAAAAATTCAAAGACGCTGTTCTGATAATTATAAACGCGCGTTGCGGAAACGTCGAAGCTTAAGCTCGCGTTTCCCCTTCGATCAACAAGTTCGAATGCGATGCGCTCGCGGGATTTCCGGTCGATTTTAAATTTGCGAGTGTCTGTGTTCGCAACGACGAGATGGCTCGAGTGCGCGCACCAAGTGCCTCTTCTCCCGTCGGGCATCCGCGCGCGTTCACACTTCAGGCGCTGTGTCAAAAAAAAACCTTTCCAACCCGACGATCTCTTCCGGACAGCGAGAGAGATCAAGCATTCCACGAGATCGTTACTGGCAGCGCGCACTCGAGTCAATTTTCTTCCGCACGGAAATTCGAAAACCATCGGCGTATATTCCTCTCTCGTTCGATATATATTCCCGGGAATATGGAAAACCCGCCAACGGGAATAAAAACACACGAGGGTAGCTCAGGTGCGCTTACAAAACTTATTTCTTTCGCGCGACTTGCAACCTCGAAAAAAAGAAAAAAAGAATCAAACAAATATATTTCTGTTTTTCTTCGACACTCCTTTCCAAGTTCTTCCAATATTTTTCTCGCGCTTCCGTAATGTCCATATAAATATTTTAAGTGTTACAAGTTGCTTCAAGTTCCGAGCATCAAGCTAAAAATATGAAAAATGTAATCTTTAAAAAAATTAATTAACGGAAAAGAGCGACTTTTTATCCGGAGATTAGAGTTTCAGCGAAGAGCGCTAAGTTTTCAGCGGATTTTCGTACGACACACGGCGGACGGTGTTTGCTTAATCGAGCGAAAAACAACCACACACCATCAGTGCGATATGACATATTATAGTTGGACGGAGCCAGCTAATTTTGCGGACAACTTTGTCACGCCTGTCACTTGACAGTCTCCCGGTGACGCATAATCTTCAACGCCATTGTCCCGAAAGCTGATAGAACACGAGCCGCGGACAGGGTCTATCCGGTTTATCGGCTGGTGACACACCGATGACGCGCGCGCGCGTGTGTATGCAGGTGCGTCGAGACCGCGGCTTGCAACAGTTACAGATGCATCCGACTAATCTCGAACACGGAAGCCGCTTGACCGGACAAACACGGGGGACAAAGTAGCCGACATAACTGCGTGACGGACGCGACGGAAATAGAACGGACGAGTTTCGACAGGTGACCGAATCGATTTGATACAGGTACACGAGCGAATTATCTCGTAACAATGCTCGCTCAGTTTCGCGGCAAAGTTAATCCGCACGTACATATATACACGTATATCTATCTGCCGCATACTTAAAATAAAATTGCAATTAGAAATTTTATAATCAGTGAAATAACTAAAAATCGAGACACGTGTTGATCGAGTCGATCAATCGTCAGAATAAGAAGAACATTAATTTTGTTATCATATAATAAGTTTTAAATAGTCATAAATATAATAAGTTTTTTAGTCGCGCGGAAAAACTAATTTAGAAAAATAAAATAATGATAATCTACACTTAAATGTACTTGCAGTCGCGTGAAGAATGTTGAAGAGAAAAGATAACTTCAAGATTGAAAAAAAAAACTATCGATTGTGAACAGAGAGTCGAGAAGAATAAATCGCTGTCGCTACAATGACGCTTTATCTCGTGCAACAATAGCGCGAGGAATCTTCGGAGACGACTCGCCAGCTTCAATAAATAATAACGAGTCGCGGTTTCGGTATCTTCCCTTCATTCCTGTATAAAAGAACCGCAGTCGTGTCAGTATTTCGTAAAACGATTTAAACCCTTCGGCAAAGCACAACCAGGTTCCAATTAAATTGAATTTTGACGGTTGCATCGGTTTTCTGTAAAATCTTTTTAGTGGAAAAATCAAACATCACATCTTTCGCTTTAAACAGAGCAACGACCGCAAGGAAATATCAATTACAATGTAGGTCAATAATTTTTCGAGTTCCCCCTCTCTAATATTCAGTTTGTTTTTCTTATACTAGCACAACACAAGCGCGCGCTACGCGCACGCTATTATTATTTTCATTTTCATGTGTTGCATCAGTGAACACAACCTGTCACCGCGATGACAGCTAATATATACATCTTATAAACTATGTAATACACCTACAAGAAATGTCAAAAATAACGCATAAAAATCAAACTCAAAAAATAAGAGAAAGAGAGAAGAATGGAAAAACAACACTAAAGTCACGTGACAAAGAAAAAAGTAAAAAAGAAAATATTATACATATATATATATTATATATAATATACATATATTATAGATAATATTCTATATCTATATATAATACACATACACACACATATATATATATATATATATACCGCAATCACGTGACCGAGGTCAGTGACCCCGCCAAGGCCGCGCGGCCGAGGTCAGTGCCCCGCCAAGACCGCGCAGCCGAGGTCAATGACCCCGCCAAGGCCGCGCGGCGGAGGTCAGTGACCCCGCCAAGGCCGCGCGGCGGAGGTCAGTGACCCCGCCAAGGCCGCGCGGCCTAGGTCAGTGACCCCGCCAAAGTCGCGCGGCGAAGGTCAGTGACATTACTGTAGTATGTATATAATACATATAATACAATATAAAGTATAATATTATAAATATATAATAAATTATATGTATAATATGTATTATTTAATGTTATATATAATATAAATTACAGTCACGTTATTTTCACGTGTTGTTTTTCTACTCTTTCCTGTCAGATGACTTTAGTTACGTTTTTAATTTTCTCTACATATACGACAAACTGTCTCAAAATCGCTTTTCATTATTTACTCTCTCGATCTTACCGATTCGATTCAACTCGATCAACCAACCAACCAATCGGTAACGCGAAAAAAAGGCAACAATAGATGCGATACATTCGGCTCCAAAACGCGCACTTCGCGGAACACATGGATTTTTTTATATAGAATAAATACATATATAGCTGACAGTTTATCATAAAAATACACCGGCAAGAAAAAAAAAAGAAAGACACAAATAAACTTTAAATTTTCTCAGAATATGTTGTAACGCATATGTTATTGTTTAAATAAACTGTAAACTAGATTCTACGTGTTAACGTAATTTTCGAGCGGCCGCGTTATCTCACAACCGCCGGAAGGTATCTTAAATAATTTGCAATTAACGAATTTCTAAACACTAACAATAATTGGCTGACCGTTATCTCGAGGCGAAAACGATCAGCGTTATCGTCGCGACACGACGATCGTTACACGAAACAGTTTGGATTACGGGTTCCCTTTCTCCCCCCTCTTTCTCCTCCTCTCCTAGTGAAATCCAGATAAAGCTGTGCATCGCACTTGCTTGCAGAGAGAATCGCCTCGTATTAACATCAGCTCGAGATTGCTTCCAAAATATTCTATTTGCGTATTTATGTTGTAGGGTCCGTTGCTCGTCGTGTAATAAAAGGTAATTTTTTGAAATACCACTATCGACTTTTTTGCAACTTATTTTAAGTACGAATGACAATCTACTTAGACTGCATTTCCGATATTTACTGCTCGGTAAATAGTGAAAATCTATAAGTGCAATATGTATATATGTATGCAATGCAAACCATAGATTTTCAGTATATCGGCAGAGAATATCGGAAGCGTAAAACATGCATCAAATAACTCACCCAACAGCGCCTGGAAAAGTCTGCTCTTGAAGATACGTATGACGCGCTCGATGGCTAATCGCAGTTGTTTGTCTTGCGGTCTTGTCAGCTTTGCGTGATAATCCTCGAGGAGCTCCAGAGCCCGGTGCGCCTCTAAACACAGACAGAAGACAAACACAGATAAGAAAGTGGCCAACTCCCTTCCCTCAAGAGATAAGAAATTAGACTGATATTTATTTAACAACGTTATACGTGATTACGTTGCCATTCACCGGATTTATAATCAATTAAATTGCGTGTGTTTTCATCTCATTGTTTATCAAACATCGCCGCTTCGTTATATTAGCTATTTTCTTCATTACCGTTATAATCAACATACTGCCCCTAATTGATTAACCATATTTGTGATGCGTTGCAAGTCCAATGATTGAATGCAATCGCCCCATCTCTCCGTCCAAAGATTCGCTTTCATTAATTAAACATCCGTTGATGCGCATTAATTAGTAGTTGACTGTTATCGATATTTATGCTTTCTACACATATCCCGGCTTCGGTTTTTACATCAGATAATAACCGGAAATTTCGATATGAAATTTGAAAGTCCGCGCGATGCGACGAGAGCGGCGATCCGAGAAATTGAAAGTAGACTATCAGATTGCGTATGAACAAAAGCGAAAGAGAGAAGAGAAAGAGCTCTTAATACGTGCAAGCAAAAAAACCGATTAGCGGAAGAAAAGGACCTGCTGGATCGATTAAACCGATTAATTAAAACCACTATTCTCAAAAACAGTTTTGCTAAATTTTCAATATAATAAAATTCTATATATACGAGAGAGAGAGAGAGAGAGAGAGAAAGAGAGAGAGAAATATCTTAAACAACAATTTCTTTTATTTAAATAAATAAATTCGGTATCGAACAAGATCCTATGTATATAAATTTATGTATATAAATCCATAAATATATATGGGTGTGTGTGTATGTGAAACATTAAAAAGCAGCAATATTGCTCTTTGTAAACGAGCATTTCTCATCAATATATACGCGTCATATATTTTTTTCACGCACGGGGATTGTATCCAACCTATTTTCGCCATTTCCGCTTTCCACTGGTCATCATAAACACTGTCGCTTCGCTCCCCTTCACCGTTTCGCCGACGAGGAAGAGAGTATCGAGAGCGCGAAGCCATTCGGGAGGTGAAACGACTCGAGAGGATCTCATGCACCGCTGAGTGCAAGTCGAGAACAAATAGGTAACGGCAATTGCATCGGTTTCGCAGTAACGCCGCCGATGCAACAGCTTCTTTGCTCTCTCCTTTCGATCTCTTGCCTTCCTTTCTCTCTGCGCGATATGGAAAATGCTTCCGTTGCGCACCTTCACGACCGTTGATACCGTTTTTTTGGCGCGCGAAAGGAACTCTTTGAGTGTGTGTTTCGATAAATTATTAAGTCACGGAGTTAAGAGTATACTTGCGGAAACAATTCAAATGTTCTCAAAAAAATATCATACATATATTCACCTGGACTCTTTCAGTATAAATAGAATGTAGTTCTATTTATACTCAGCATTTCAAATTTTTATATATTTTTTCTTTAGTTTGGTACTATAAAAGCCTTTCGTTTTAACTTGTAATAATAAAATAGAACTCAATAGAACTACACCCAAAAGACATTTGGATAACAAACATTAACAAGCAGTGAGTGAAAAACCACAAAGAATCGCACGAGTTTTCTCGCAGGACAATTAGGAAATTTATAAACGTATGACAAGATAATAATGCTACGCTATTGAACTTCTTGCAATTTTTCACTTCAATCTCTTTTTATAATTCACGGTTAGCATTGAATTACCCTGACGATATTTCTTTGCATTAAAAGCTCTCGCGTGATGAGCCGACGCAGATATTGAGTTGTACTACTACGATATCTTATTGAGACTCGAAACTCACACTACATTTTCTTTTAAAGAATCGTGCAACCATCTCCGCGCGAAATCGTAGAGATAATCAAAAATAAATTTGTAGTGTCTATTTAACTACTTACTTCGGAGAAAGAAAGAGAGAAATTAATCGGTTAGGTTAGAGTATAAGGTTACACACACACAGAATTGAGAAAAAACTTCTCAATATAACTAACAAAACTCTCCCTTGAGTTTTGATAAAATTCGCTGAACATTCCAGGTTTTTTTCCAAGTTTTTCCAGACAGCAGACGTGCGCCCGCTCTCGCGTGCCTCTGCACATGAAGGGTTAGGATCAAGAATAGGAAGAAGTGAAAGCGAAGGTAAGGTAAATTTCTTGGGCGGTAATAACACGGCAATGGGTACGTCAGCCATCGTTGCGAGCGACAACGGAACTATGCCAAGTATGACCGTTTATCCTCGGCTTTATGGTTCATCCGGCTGCACGTCGCGTTTCATGAATTATAACGCCGTATCTCTTTTACGAGATGCCGGTGTGCTCGATTTTCACGAAGCATTGGGGACGAGGAAGGAGGGAGCAAACGAGCTCGTCACGGGTCGTGAGAACGTCCTGTTTATCAGGCTTCGTAGGAAGAGGACTCGTCCCGAAAGCTCTCGGCTTTTATTAAGAAGAAAATGCGTTTTCCTCATCATCAACCAAGTTGATCCCGTCGTTGACAATAAAGAAACATAGTGTAGCTGCAATTACTTTTTCAATTCAAAATGTGAATGTTTATTGACAAAATTAAAAGAGATAACATTTTTTTTGTTGTTTTAAATTCAGCTTACTAGAAATATACACCAGAAAAATAACGCACCTACTACTGTGACGATTTATTTAAATGAAATTATATAATAACAAAGAGAGTACTCCTTCAGAAAAAAAACATTTAACAATAGAAGTTCTCTAAACAATATATTTATAATAATTTTGAGCAATAATTAAGATTTTCTATAACAATAACGTAAAATAGATAATTACGGTCGAGTCTATTTGACACTTTAGTTCAAGGTCCTTCGTAAGGCGAAGGGCGCCGAAAAAGGAGACCTACCGGCGCGCTGTGTTATTTTCGTCTTTCATTACGCGACGCCGTTGACACAGTTCGCACACAATAATTAAAGGAAACCCCTTTGCGTTCGTCTAATTAAAGCACGGTAATTATCGAAGTGAATTACGAGCCGCTACTTCCCCGTCTCTTTGCTCGATGACGACGACGGCGACGTTGGGACATATTGACGGCGCGGGGTCGACAATAATTATTTCATTTGTAACAGCTATTCAAGCAGCAAACGTCAGGAGAAAGTGCTTCGTTTACAAGATCGTCGAAAACGATGTATAACACCGTCAAATAACCTATTTTCTCTTAAGTGTCGCGTTGAAAACTTCGACGACGGAAGAGGATAAAAGTGTATATTGATTTTTGTATCAGGTGTCTATATAATAATTATTAAGATTATACGGACACGTGCGAACACACGTGTAAACATTTACTTAGTAGTGGAAGAACGTCAACAAATCGTTTTTTACGAACATAGTTTTATATAGCGGTAAATCCAGATTTCGTCATTCTGACAGAAAAAAAAACGGACTATCGACAAACTGTCGAGCAGGGCCGCGGACCAGAATCTCGGCTACACCCACAAAGGACCTGACACACGAATGCCCGGCCCGACGAGATTCCACAGACAGCGCCGCTTCCCCAATCAAACTTATTCAAAATATATACGTAGATAATAAAAACTGCTATCGCATTTATACACACACATAAATGTAATTGTATGTGTGACATAAACGACTACGAACAAGACAACAATAAAAGTGTCAAATAGATTAAAACAGATTGGCTCAAAAATGTTGCACAAAATATATACGACCAATTTGTCCGACAAACATGTATAAATTGTATATCTCTGTGGAAATAAAAATTTCATTTTGTTGTAAAAAAAATTTCTTTGCGTCTGGAAAATTATTCCGCCTTTATGCGCGTTCAATATAAATGTATAAAATATTTACCGTGTCAACCGAGATATGTAAATGGTAGTCATCCATCATTCACATTCATGAAACCATGTATAAAGACAAATGAAACGATTTTGTCATAACGAAACTCGTGAAAAATGGGCCATGAAAACATCCCTATCGCAGTGACTTTACCCATACGCTGTACATGTATACACCACTATTACAAAGAATGTCGAACAGAGAGAAGAACAAAAATACGCTGTTATGTGAACACATTTTTTTAAATACATACATTGTATATGAAGTATGAAACGTAATGGGAGACAAAAATACGGCGGATTAAATTATTTTCAAGTTAAAAATTAAAACTCGCCGAGCACAAAAACACAGAACTGATGAATTTTCACGCGGTAGTAGTTTCCGCGAAAATGAAAATAAACAAAGATCTGAAATGCGTTATTGTTTACGAAACAATCCCGCGCGAGACAGATGAATTCCCATGAATCTAATCCGACCGAATAACAATCAAGTCTGGAATTGTGCAAATGCGCGGAAACGGGGCAACGTTTAATCTGCGACGCCATATTCGCTGTGATACCTTGCGTGTATAGAACAAACAAATTGTAGCTACAAAATACAGATTTTCTGAATTTGCAAGGAGATTGCGCGTTCTTGGATATCCGTGAAATTGTGTAACTGATAATCTTGTTTGCGGAAATGCACACGTATACATGACATCAGTTGTGTAATAAACGCACAAGAAAAGTAGATGGACATTTTTTATCCACAATTTTCACAAACATAAAGCAAAATTGACGCAAATCTAGAACAATCGAATTTTTATCAATGACGTTCTATTTCATCCTTTCAAAATATTTGCGTAGCTTCAAAACATTTGAGTAGCGTTTCTCTATTTTTCAGGATTTTCAGAAAAATTGCAAATTGTCAAAGAACATTATAAAAAAAGTAAATTCTCTTTTAGGAGAGGCTTCTCTAATTGCCGTGAATCCTTCACACATATTATTTAAGAGGGTATTGGATACCGACGACAGAGAATGATCTTTATAATATATGTGAAAAAAACAAAGTCATTGGAAGAGTCTCTTCTAAAGGAAAGTTTTATCTTAAAAAATGTTCAGTTGACAATTAGATTATTTGTCAGCAGGAATATTTATTGGCAAGATCATTCTTCGTTAATAACAATAATGCTGAGAATGTGCAGCTATGTTCCCTC